GAACCTGCATGTGGGTGAAAAACCTCAAATCCAACATGACAATAAGAGGAGACTCCCAACCACAGATCCCACTATTCTCCCTATTTTTGTGTGTTTACACACACTGCTAATGATTGCTATGGAAAGTGGATGGAAAATATAGTCAACATGAACGCAGACGAAATAAGAAAAAATACATGTATGATGTGCGTATGTATGGCCAGGACAATGCAAAGTGCAGGATTTTCATGATAAAGGGTAGGTTTGCAGAATTTGGTTAATGATTTATAACCCCAGATATACTAAATAAATAATTTATTCATATCTTCAAACCTGAATCACCTTACAAAACAATGTACCAAACACCGCACTTCCATCTGCATCAGGTGTAGAATTAGTTTTTCTTTCACTTTCAATTTCAATTTCACTTTCTCACCAGTTCAAAGGAAAAGCAGACATTACATCATTAGTTTTTCATTCAATATTTGATATATGCTGACTGTCAGCATGGTATGCTGTTGTATTCTTCCTTTCCATTCACATGGATTTTATAGGATTTTTAGGCAGAACTTACTCCCTGTTCACAAATAAACTGCAGGATATTTTACCTTTGCATGAGACTTAAACCTTACAGTGCCTGAAAATGGTCTGTCCTGTGCTCCATTAAACCATCCCTGAGCATTCCGCATGTAAAAGATTTGTTTCCTTTCACACTTCACATTCAGGCAAACAAGACTCTTTTCTTTTTCCTTACAAGAAACATCCACATATGTCTCTTATATTCTTGTTTTTTGGGGGAAAATTGCACTGCAAATTGAGAAAAAAAACAAGCCTTGCATTGCTGCTTCCACAAGAATTAAGATAATGAGCAGCATACAAGATTTTTAAAATTTTTGGCACTCACAAAAGGGGTTACTTTTATCCGTAAGGCAACATAAACAGACATGATCAATCCTTAAGGGCACATTAAACTTTTTATGGGTAAATGCTTTTAATTGGTTGGTGAAATTTTATGAAATATAGATTTTGCATGTTATTTTGTTGTTGGTGCTCATTAACTATCTTAGGCAGATGCCACTTACTCAAATACATGAGCACCTCTATAAAAGCAGATTATTATTTTTTTGCAGTTTGCTGCTCTCAAGAACAAATGTGTATGTTCATGTGAAGGACAAAATACATCATCAACGATTTTTTCTTGCTGCCCATAATGGTAGAAAAAAGTTATAAGGCCAACTATTAAGAGTGAAAAAACTTTCAAGGTAACATAGAGACTTTTCTGACATGAAGGGCCTCATCAATTCACCAAAAGGTAACACCTAATAATTGCATCTCAGATTCTACAGGCTTCAATATGTATTTTAAATGTTAATGTTGATGACAATTCATGACTCAGAGAAGAATAAAGAAGGTGGCAGAATCTGAATCTCAAAAATAAAAAGATGGTCTAATCTCAGACAAAGAAAACTTTGCAGCTCTTACTTCTACCCCACCCTATATTACCCTAGCTCGCTAACAAAGCATTGTTTGAAATCTGTGCCATGACTTTATGTGCATGGAATTATGCTGAAGAAGCGCCATCTTTTGGTGGCATGCAGTAAATGCATGAATGGGTGCAGAAAAGCTCAATAGTAAGCATGCCCCACAAGGAGAAAAGACTCCACACTGTCTGGAACTAACATGTAGGTGGCTGGAAGAGACAACTCAGCATATACGCATCCCTTCACTTATGTGGGTGTTCAGTCTTTGATGTATTGATCCTCTTTAACCTTTCATCTTGATACCGTTTTCTTCAAGCCCACTATTCCAATAAATGAGAGTAATACTCATTTTTTAACCGTTTAATTTCAGAGTTACCCTTTAGTTTACAACATTGCAGCCTTTCAAATTTAAGGTTACTGGCAGGCATGTCTGGTGGGCAATCAGTTTTATCTGGTGCACAGTAGAAATATGAAAACAAAACAACTGTTTGATGCACCAAAAAGGTGATGAGAAAGATTAATGCCAGACATTTTTATTTTGCCATTTGTGTGTATTCTTATTCAAAAAAATATTTACAATTGCAATTAAATTAATTAATATAATTGCATATTTAATCATTTTCTACTTATTTTACATTTTTATCAATTGTATAACTCCATGGAAGTTCATCTATGCACAGGAGTCTTGTCACATATCCTGTTCCTCTCCATCTGAATCTGTCATGTCAACATCATGCAATGTTACATGAAAGAAGAGAAGGAAAGGCTGTTCAAAGCTCTAGAAGTACCACAGTGTAATTGGTCCTGCGTGGTGTTATTTTGAATAACATACGATTCATGCAGGGTCCAGCTGTGACTGGCCGTTCAGTCACATCATACAATCGAACACTAAACCTTTGTGATATAACAGCCACTACAGACTGATATTATCATTATCAATGGGGTTGAAGGGTTAAAGAAAATACCTCAAATCAACTATTTTCAAAAATGTGGAAATTCTATGATAATCTTAGGAAGACAACCTTGTCCTGCTATTTAAACTAGAATATTAGCAAGGTAACGACGCTTGCTTAGCTTTGGAACTATGAGCTTTAGCTTTAGGAGGTAAATTACAATAGTAGCTACAGATACTGCAGCTGAGTGTTTGGATGCCAAAAGGGATGGTGTGAGTGCCTTCTACAACTGCAAGAAAAAGAGAATTCAAAGGAGATATCTTTGGAATGTACCTAAAGCTGACGGTCACTGAGTATAAAATGTTGTATTATTCATGTAACATGTGGAACAGCACAAAACTAAATTGATGTTAATGTCAAATAATCAAAGCATACAAAATCACCAGCCAATTAAAGTAACATATTTACACACATATTTCAGGCATTAAAACTTCAAATTGAAATCTGTATTGGAATTTTTAAAGAAAATTAACCAACTTTTAAAATGAAACAGCTACCCTGACCCCTGCTGTTCACTAGTACCCCGACTTTGTGCAACTACAGTGCTTTGAAGTACTGCACCTTTAGTCTTTTACAACTATTACTTCACGCTCAATCTCTCTCTACACTAAATGCTTCATGAAACCCCCTGCTCACCTGTCACTCAGCAGCATCCATGCAGCTTAATGCAGCACATCAACCAGTCGGACATTTTTTATGGTTTTCTCAGTAAAGTTCTTGATTTCTGCTGTTCTCTCTGGGAAAAAGTGCAGAACCACATGAGATGGAAAACAGAACTTTTTTCATGTAACAGCTAAAAAAGAGGACTATGACTTTATGTGGTTGTATTCTTTGAGACTTGATGTAACTACTTGTTTTTGTGTGTTTGATTACACAAAAAATACACTGCTATGGTTGTATTTTTTCTCAATTCAGCTCTTTTGGTTCTGCAAAGTTAGACAAAAAATGCTGGCTGTGTTTTAATGGTAAACATGATCCTAATTAATGATAAATAATGTTAAATGATCTGTAATTTGTTCTGAAAAGCACACACCAAATCTGATTATCTTCACATTCTCACCTGCAGTTCAGCATGACCCAGCTATTGTGTTTTTGGCTCCTGCACACCTCTGAGAGCCTCTCCTTCACTCTTACTGTTTTTTGTGTGTGTCTGTTTGTTTTCAGCTCTAAGGACTGCTTGTGCTGGCACAAGATTGTAGGCTGCATCAATCACCCGTAGATGAATGTGTCTGCGGACACCTGCTCCATCTGTATTAAGATTATCTGATGAACACTGCCAGTTTACAAAGTATTTATTAATCTGGAGACTCTATACCAGTTGAAAGAGAAAGACTAATACATGTGTGAGAATAAAGAGAGAGCAATTAGACAACTTCATGGAAGGGACTACCAAAATACTGAAAAAACATGTAATTACAAAAAAGCTTTGGTGGAAACTCCTTTTCTAGCTAACATTGGCACCCTCGCCTTTTCACTGGTTAAACTGCAGAATGTTATTATTCTGCATCATACCAACTATTCTGTCTTTTTCTTCCCCTTTCTAACCTTTTTTGTGACCATCGTATTTCTCTAAATCCAACCGAGGTGATTAGTCACGACAATTAACAGCCGATCTTTGAAATTGGTAACTATTCAGTTAAGATTCAAACAGAACAGAACAGTTTTATATAGTTCCCAATCCACACTATGGCCATAAGATCCGTGACATTTCGGGGTGTTTAAAGGTGGACCGCAACCTATCTATTTCATAATCCCGGAGGGGTTCACTCGCGTCACAATAACCTTGAGGAGCAAAAAGAGGAGAAAGGGGAGTGAATCGCCAAAGCCAGTGTGTGTGCGCTCACGTCCAATTGCCTACTTGGTCAGAGCAGGAGGTTAATTATCTGTGAAGCCTGCCTCTTTTTTCCTGTCAGTCTCACGTTCTGAAGGAAAATGACACATGCAAATGAACAAGGAGCGATTTTTAAGAGGCGGTTTGTGTGATAATGCAGGCGGTCTGTGCGTAAAATTGGCCATTTCTGGTTCCAGATAGCTTTTTTTTTTCCAGCTATGCTCGATTCTTATACTGTTGGAATCTTGTAGGCAACCCCCTTCAATATGTTTATGTTTATGCATTTGGCAAGCAGACGCTTTTATCCAAAGCGACTTACAGAGTAGACACAATATTCAATTTCTCATCACTATGACAATAAGCTATATAGAGGAGGAACACTGATCAGAGTCAGTGGTGACAGCAAGAGATAGAGGTAGGGGACCACAGAAGGAGTTGTGGGGGGGGGGGTTGGTACGGGTTAGGATTAGGATAGGAGATCCTCTTTGAAGAGCAATATAGGAACAATATAGGAACATATTATAGTAAATTCCCTTATATAATATTCATTATAATGATAATAAGAATGTGCTGAATGTATTTGGCACTGGTTCAAAGTGTTGTTGATGTTGCAAGTTTAACAAATAAAAACCGCTGAAAATATATGGGTGACTGGGCACATATGTTAAGAATATACGGTCCTAGGTGTCAATGTTACCGCGGTGACGTCAGGACTTAGAGCAGCGGGCTGAGAGCTCAGCGCCTTGCTTGTGCGCCTTGTTCCAAACTTGTCTCAACGCGGTACGGGAAGCATACACACCGGGACGCAGAACAGCGGCGTGCGCCATGAACAACAGGTCCGTGGCTCAGAACGCACCGCGAGTCGGCGGCGGAACAGTGGCTGTGGACCACGAACTCGTCATCACCTCCACTTTCGGGACTCTTTTGTCCGTGGTGTACGTCGTCGGAGTTTCGGGCAACGTGTACACGCTGGTGGTGATGTGCCACTCGATCCGGTTCGCCACTTCCATGTACATCTCCATCATCAACCTGGCTCTGGCGGACCTCCTCTACCTTTCCACCATCCCCTTCGTGGTGTCCACCTACTTCCTGAAGGACTGGTACTTCGGAGATGTGGGTTGCCGTATTTTGCTCAGCCTGGACCTCCTCACCATGCACGCCAGCATCTTCACCCTCACCGTCATGTGCACGGAGCGCTACCTGGCCGTCACCCAGCCGTTGGACACGGTGAGGCGCTCCAAGAGTTACCGTAAAGCTCTGGCTTGGGGTGTTTGGCTGCTTTCTCTGGTTCTTACCGTGCCCATGATGATAATGGTCTCTCAGACCACTAAAAGCACCCCGGATGGGGGCGTAAAGAGAATGTGCGCACCCACATGGGCGCCCCTGGCTTACAAGGTATATGTGACTGTCCTTTTTGGCACCAGCATCATGGCCCCGGGGCTCGTTATCGGCTACCTTTATGTCAGGTTAGCGCGCACTTATCTAGAGTCTCAGCGCAACTGTGTCATCAGCAAAGGCGGCAAGCGCTCACCGAAACAGAAGGTGCTGATCATGATCTTCACCATCGTACTAGTGTTCTGGGCTTGCTTCCTGCCCTTCTGGATATGGCAGTTGTTTCCGCTGTACCACACCAAGCCGCTCAGGCTGGCCTCGCAGACGCACACCTGCATCAACTACCTGGTGGCGAGCCTGACCTATAGCAACAGCTGCATTAACCCTTTCCTGTACACGCTGCTCACCAAGAACTACAGAGAGTACCTAAAAAACAGACACAAAAGCTTCTACAGGTACATGTCCTCTTTTAAGCAGCGACCACCCAGCCTCCACTCCTGGGGGAAGTCCGCTTCGTCCAGCAACCAGTTCGAGTTCAACTCCGAGACGCTGGTCATGGGGACGCTGATGTGACCTGGGAGGTGACCCACACAGGAGGAGGCTGCTCTTGGCGCAACAAGCGCAGAAGGTAGGTTTTCTGACAGCTCCATAACTGTGCCTAAAATTGCGAGCCATCAAGACTTAAAGTTTAGGCATAAAACGGCGGTAATGCACCTGAAACTTGATAATATAAACCACAGTTCTTGTGGAAAAGTGCGCACATACATGTTGAGGCAGTGTTTATGTATGGGCCAGGACGTCATTGTCTACTCTTAGATCATCCGTTTACTTGGTTTGGCACAGTTAAGCATATCAAGCTTGCAGATTTTTTTTAATCATGTTTCGAAGGTTAACTTCCCTCAGATACAATCGGCAAAATAAATGAAATATTTTCTCCACTTTTGCACTTGATCTGGTTCTTCCCTGAAGGTCTCTTCAAACATAATAATGCTGTTTAATCCATATGCATTTTTAGAAATTGTGTCAAGATAATCACACGCTGCCATTCCATAGAGCCACACTACCATAAACAGAAACGGGGCACTTATGTGATCATTTGTGTCTGACCTTGTGAAAACCAGCCATCTTTAAGTTATTCAACATAACAGGTAAATCTTCTAATTTTAAAAATCACTTAACTTCATTAATTTATTGTGCACCAAATGTCTACATCACTGAATGAAGATTCAAATTAACTTCCATTTTTGATAATTTGAAGGTTTGTTTGCAGTTTAAAGCCTAATAGCACAGCTGGCCTTGATGCTTATGATGAGTCAGATGTTGGTTAAATCGGCTGGCTTCTGGATTGAGACCTTGTAAAGCAATTTTCCCACCTCCAATAAGTTCATGTCCATAAACCATGTCCTGAACATTTTGTCTTACTGCAATGACATAATCGGAGAGACTGGCTTTTTCCTGCTTCACAGATTTTTTTAAGACCTTGCCTTTTGTTTTTCTTCTTTATGTTTAGTCTGGACTTGTTTTTCTTGCCAGTGATTTCTTAGAATTTAAGTTTAGTTTGTATCAGTTTTTATTTGTTCACAGCTCCTTGGTTGATCCCTTGTTTCGTTCTGCTTAACTAGTTTGACTGTGAAACTAGTCCAAAAAGCTGCAACGGACTCAACAAAAGACCGGAACAGTGAGTGGGAGGAATGTGATCCAGATAATCAGGTTAAGTTGCAACAGGATTGTAACGTGACAGAACATCTTTAAAAAAGAGCACTTTGGAGAGACAGAGACCCTGAAACTACAGTATTCTGGAAACAAGTTCTGTTTTAGAAGCCGTGTCATCAAAGTCACTGTGTGGGCTCAGGAATATTGCCAGAAATCATAGTCACAAAGCTCATTTTCCATCCATAAGTACAGATTTAAGATATGCTATTCAAAGAGGAGGCCAAACGTGACCATGATTTGCACAGTCAGATTGTAAAGATTGTTTTTAAGATAATTTTAAATGGATTTAGGCAAAGTGGACCTAATATTGGAAAATAACTGCAGCACAGAGCATCAATGGGTTGTAAAAGTTCTTGTAAAACAGCCTCAGTGATTTGCACACTTTCTTTCTTGCTTATATCAGCCTTTTACTTTGGCAGTTTTTTTTTATCCCATAAGTACACTTCCAGAAATCATTGTCAGTGAACACAGCTCCTGTTTGATGAACAAAAGCTACAAACCACTTTGGTATATGCCCAGAAAATCCCTTTTTCAATTCTTCTCAGCTTTTGCTCTTTCTCTGTATAACACAACAGATCAGCAAGCTAGTGTCTATTAGCATTCATGAGCTGCTTGCAGATGCTCAGATGTCCAGAGGTGTCAGGGTTTTTTTTATTTACCGGCCACCTGGGACCTTTTTGTTTGTAGTACAGATGTTTTTTTGTTTGTTTTTTTCCCAAGATGCTTTGTTTTTCTCCCACCGTCCAAGTGGTTAACAAAGGTCCCAAATTAACCATCTCTTTATTAAACGTCACAGACTTGGGAAGCTAGCCAGGGCTTGAATTCAAAATAATCATATGTGAACAGAGATTCTTTTGTAATTTTGACACTTTCACATAGTTTATTGTTTAAATCTTATTGGATTGATTTGGGAATGGAAGCTGCATGCTATGGGCGGAAAAGCTTAAATTTTTTATTCAACACTACACGTTAAATTGTCACCATTTTCAGTTTTTGATTTGAGTGTCCACATCAATCAAAATATTGATAGCATCAATACCAAGATATCGGTATTGGATCAATAGTAGAGTGACAATTTTGCTGCAATTTCTCTTCATTTTATTAGGTGCAGCTTCTCTGTTGCTTACTCAGGACCACTTTTAATTTCGTAAACACATTTGTTTGACTGAAGTCATACAAAACTGAGCCTTTAAAATATGTACGCAACAACATATTAGCATTTTTAGCCTCTTATTATTCCTTTTTTGTTTTTTCCCCAGGCCACCACCCTTTAAATAGGGATACCTCAGCCCTCATGCCACTTCTACAGACACATAAAGACAAAGTCACCTAAAGAACACTCAAACATAATATATTTTATTTTCCTGTCACTTCATAATTCTACATATTCAACATACTCATTATTTGCTTCTTTCTTATTTCAAATTGTTATTTGAATTGTCCTGTGTCACTGGGATACGATGTTAAATTCCATTTGGCCAATAAAGTAATTTCTAAATCTGATTCTTGATATATACATATAAACTAATCTACTCAAATAGACATGAGCGATCTAAATCTTTACACAACAGAAGTAACTCAAAAACCAATATGCAGTCAATTCAGCGCATTTAAATCAACACTAACCTACTAAAGAGAGTTAATATTTTGCACAGTTTGCAGCATTACCTGCCAGTTTGCTAGCTTGTCAACTCAGCTGTAACTATCCATGCTGGTTGATACTACGTTACCTACGTTGCAACAGTTTGATTGGCTGCTATTATCTCCAATTAGGAACACCTGTATATGTATGTGTCATTGGTACCCACCACTATCAGAAGAATGTCAGTGCATCCATCCACTAGCGGAACAAATCAGAGCTGGGCTGAGCAGATAATCTTAATCGAATTTGAAAAGATTTGAGTAAATATGAGTAAGTCTATAATGCTTTTTAAATGACGATCTTAGATAGTTTTCCATTGCCATTAAATCTCATGTCTTCATAATGACTGTACCGTAGTAATTTTAGCATCAACAATGGCTTCATTTTAATTGTGACAGTTAGAACCAAGACAGAAATACACTTTTTTAATTAAAGCATTTCATGGCTTGAAAATAGATTACCTTTAAAACACAGACAAGGCTGCCAGTCTGTTTTTAAAGGCCAAAGCAAATCAATATTTTTAATCTTTTCAGGTAATACCACACAGCTGCAAAAGTAGTTTAATGATGTAGAAGTCACCAAATCGATTTCATATTTGCAGTGAAACACAAAGTAAAGCAAGAATTTCAGCGTATACTTTTCTTATCCAATTTCGTTCGGAGTAAATACTGTATTTGTGTCAGACTTATTTCCTATAGACACTATATTCAGAATTATATAGTGTATTACAGTACAAAAATACCATTGATAATACTGCTGCAGTACAGTTCTATAGTCATCCAGTTATATATATATATATACAGTATATATAAATAATTGGGCATTATTATACTGATGATCATTGGTTTACTGTGGTGACCCCAAAAGTGTCAGCTATCAAACTCCCTTTCAGCCAATATAGATGCATTGTAAGCATTATCATGGCGACATCCATGAGGTCCAAGCGACTGCCTCTAAAATACTAGAGCAACAACTTTTGATGTGCTTGATAACCTAAATGGTTGTGTTACCATTTGGTTAGTACCAATGGTTGGTAACACAACCATTTGTTACCGATTCTTTAGTTGGAAACCTGAAAATAAACCAAAGTAGATCAAAAGTATAAAAATGTAATTTTTATACTTATTTTTTTTTTATTAAGTCACAGGTAAAGTATTCAGCGCTGGGCTCTTCACAGACAAAAACCTCTCTCTGAGGGTCTTAGTCGGCAAAAAGCACTGAAATCCATGTGTAATGGATATTTGTCTTCTGGGCTGGGCCCGCCCTTCAAAGGAGGACTGGACATAACCAAGTCTTATTGGCCGGTTACTTCTGACATGAACAGGCCAGGTCCTAATCCATGCAGATGACATTGGAATGTGGTAACCAAGTGTGTGTGTGATGACCTAATGACGTGCTTCTAATGCAACAGAGAGAGAAAGCGAGAGAAAAGAGAATCTGTGGTTACAGCCAGAGAATTTAACAAAAAAGTATCATTCTAAAAAGGAATAAGACAATAAGTAATTTACATAGATCAGGTTATAGCATACCATGCTAAAGTGAGTAATTATAGCCACATTCTAACAGTTGCTAAAGAAATTGCACCATGTTTGCAAGCAAGAATGGTTTAATCAGGGCTTAAATTACACATTACACCTCTGAAGACTTAGGTTATGACTAAAATCCTTTGAGAAAACTGAGTTACAGTACTTAAGCGTGAAAAACTTCTAAAACACCATATTGTAAGGGTAACTCGAGTAGATCTTGCTGTTGCCTGGTCAGCTTTTATTTTATTTGGCAAAATGGCCAAATCCATTTAAGAAAAAAGAGCTTGAGGAGAAGAAAGTGTGAGAGAAGATCAACTTAACCAAGAGTAATTGTATCACTTAACAATCCAGTTTAGCAAAAAAAATTTAGCGATGAATCGTCAAGTGAATAAAATATTTTCTATACTTTAATGAGATCATTTTTACATATTAGTTTTATCTACTTTTTTAAAATGAGCTAGCTAATAAATGATCTAGCTTGCTTTAGTTGATCAAACATGTTAGGAAGATAAATTCTATAAGCTAACAGACTGGCGGTGGTACACGCACTGCTTGCTGATTTTGCTATTGAATGATGGGTTGTAATCCTCAGCTATACAGCTATAATAGCAGAATCATCTGTATTTGACTTCCTTCTTCTATTGTTTATGTTTTACTAGCTACAAGTGGTGTTGAGAAAGGAGACCAGCCTT